ATTACATAATTCTTACCACATATGTTCAAAGTGATAAATTTGTTCCTACCAAATATGTTTCAGTTAATCAATCAAATATTTAATTCTCCAAATTGTAATTTAGAACATTATGTATATTAGCATTAATGTCTTAAAAACATTCTACCTCTTCCAATAAAGTCTTTGAGAACTTCTTTTACTTCTCTGTTTCTTAGTGAATATATGATTGGATTAATAACTGGGGTTACCACTGAATAAAGGAGGGAAATGTATTTGACTCTGTTTAAAGAATAGACTGAAGTGGGCCTAATATATGTGTAGATGACTGCTGAAAAGTAAAAACTAACTACAATAAGATGGGAGGAACAGGTGGAGAATGCCTTCTTCTTTCCTTCAGTGGAACGAATTCTGAAGATGGCCCTTATAATAAATCCATATGATGTTAGGGTCAGTCCACAACTGAAAACAGCAAAAACTACATCTGCCACAAAAGCCATTGTTTCGTTGAAGCTGGTATCTGAGCATGATAACTTCAAAACTGGAGGCACATCACAGAAGAAATGATTGATTATATTGGATTCACAGAAGGACAGCTGTAGGAGAAGCCCAGAGTGAACTGCAGAGTTTGTCAGTCCTAAAACCCATGCTCCAACCGCTATTGCAGCACACAATTCTTTCCTCATGATCAGAGTATATTGCAATGGGTAACAGATAGCAACAAAACGATCAAAAGCCATGCTTGTCAGCAACATCAATTCTGTCACCAGGAACAATATGAAAAAATAGACCTGAATGATGCAGCCATAAAATGTGATGGTATTTCTGTGTGAGAAAAGAGTGAGCAGCAATTTGGGAATTGTGGTTGTGATGGAGAGTGCATTCACCAAGGAGAGATTGGCAAGGAGAAAATACATTGGAGTGTGAAGTTTCTTAGAAGCGCATATGATAAATATAAGCAGGAAGTTACCCATCAGAGCTGCAACATAGCTAAGTGTGAATAACCAGAATAGAATTCTTTGTATTTCAGGAGACTGTGTTAAGCCTAATAACACAAATTCCCTGATAGCTGAATGGTTCTTTCTTTCAAAGTCTCTGATGTTTATAACCTAAACAAACAAATTGTATCTTGTGAATCAGTTATCATAATACTCTACCAAGCTCTCTCCAGAACCCCACTATTGTATATAACTAAAAGAGAAATTAGCAATGAACATTGAACTTTTATTGAAAGCTATGAAACTTTATAAAATGTTCTAATAATTGGAAAGGTGAACAAAGGAAATATGGATTGTTCCACTTTCAACTACATCATTTACAAGAAAGGGAAGGGGAAGAAGAACAAGGGAAGGAAAGCTACGATTTGAGCAATGGAAAACATATACAATGGAATACAAATGTGTGTGTGTGTGCGCGCGTGCGTGCGTGTGCACGTACATGTACACACACACAGACACACACACACACATACATATATACACACATATATATTCTTTTTCTGCCTTCATTCTCTATCTGCCTCTTACACTATATGAAAAGCAAATTCTTCTACTCACTTATTCATTGCACAATTCTAAACAGATTTTTATAGAATTACTTGGCAAGCCTTACTGGATCTTTACAATATTTCAAAGGGGTAGTTTATTTTTCTAAACAATAGGGCAAAGCTTTGCCACAAGCTACTGCAAACATTTAAAGACAATGATAAGTGATGCATTATTTTCCCCTTTTATCGGAGTAGTCTCCTTTACAGCTTTAAGCAAATCTTCTGGTATACTTATACTGGAAGAAGAGCAGGCATCCAGCCACCTTAAAGTTATTAAAATTATTGGCTGTTTTTGCAAAGTGACATCAAGTTCCAGAAAAAGGTAAATCAGTTGTGATTGTTTCATTCAACACCCAGAGTTGTTGATTGATTCCAGATTTCAAATTACTTAAAAAATTTATAATCATGATCACAACCTCAATAATAGTAGTAATATAACAAATGGGATTAAATTTATACAGTAACAACTAATCATACTGATTACAATTGTCTAACTTTAAGTAGGCTCATTATAGACCAAAAGTTAGATTCAAGTGTCATATCTATGTCCAATCTTCTTATCACCATTATAGATCACAAAATCATCTCAAAACCATTTTAAGGTATTATAGGAAAAAAATGATTATACTAAATACTTGCCTTCATGGGTATTGTTTTCTGTCCCCTTGAACGTTGAAGGGTTTTGCTTTGTTTTTGCTTTCTTTTTCTTTTTTCTTTTTGGTTAACTCTGGCAAGGATCAGTTTCTCTTCCTTTCTGCTATCATAATGGCTGTTGACAACTAGTTTGTTCTGATTATAAGCATTACCTGGGAACGAAGCCAGAACTGTTAAGTGATATAATGGTATGAAGTGATACCTTTGAGACATCATTAGTTCTTCAAGCTTGCTTCCCAAATATACTTGGTAGTTAGATTTTTAGAATGTAATCTAAATAAATGACAACATCATGATTGAATGTTTATTTAGCTCATACTAATTTTAAATAATATAATTCTATTTTTTTAAAGATGGACTGGACTCTGAAAATTAATTAACAGGAGTGAAAAAGAAATTTTCCTCATCATTGTATACAACTATACTATTTGTTGTAGTTGTCATCGTTGTCTTCACCATATCTATGCATTGCTTCATACTTTGTCTGATGGTCTTTGAACATCAAACCTCACTCTTTCTGATGATCTCAGTCCAGGCATATCTTTCTAAATTCAATGTTTTAGGCTTATTTTAAGAACAAGATTACAGTATTATTATTTTCTGATTGATTATGTCTATGTTATATCATGACTTGATTATGATGGCATAACTTTATTTCAAAATTCAACCACAAAATCTCAATATGGTTACAAATCTAGCCATTGAGCTTTCTTGGAAAATTGAAGATTGGAGAGAGATTGGTAATATTCTCATGAAATGCAGTTATGCATTGAAGATTCCAATTATATCAATATAATATTTCAAAATTTAACCCATTTGTAAGGACATATGTGACCTTTTCATATAATAAAGTATCCCTCTGTATTTTCTTTCTCATATGTAAGACCATGCAGAATTTTTAAGTTATTTATTTTAATTGTTGTTGTTGTTTATTGTTTTAACCATTTAGTCATATCAGATTATTGGCAACTTTATAGTCAAGTCCTCTCTATGCTATCCTGTCAAGCACATCTTCTTTCCATTTTTGGATGTTCAACTTTGTATCAGATTTGATGTTAGCAAGCCATCCTGTTCTTTGCTTCTTCTTGTTCCACTTTTCCTAACATCATTACTTCTCCAATGAATTTGTATCCACGAGATGATTAATGTAAAACAGAGGTAGTCTTATGATTTTTGCTTCAAATGATTTTACATTATTTAACACCTGTTAGTTACTCTGGTTGTCTATGGTATATGCAATAATTTAAACCAGCATCACAGTTCAAAGGCATCAATTCTTCTTCGATCAGCCATTTTTAATGTCCAACTCTCACAACCCTGCATCATTATGGGGAAGACTATTGCTAATTGCCATAAAGCATTCTTATAGTAGCAGTTTATTATACAGTTACTGTGGGAATATTAATAATATTCAGGTGCATTCATATTTCTCTCTATGTGTAACAAATACTTAATAATCATGTAATACTGGGACTATGTTCCACTTATAGCTTGAATAATAAAACATTTTATGTTATAACCTCACTGCTATAATTTGTGCAATGTGTAACTCTTTTGAAAAACTGCCTGTGTTGCCTCTATGCCTTGCTCCGGTCATCACAGTATGTATACCAATGGTGGGTTCCTACTGGTTTGGACCATTTCAGTTGTACCAGTAATAGTTTGGCGGCCTGGATCACTGGAACCAACAGCAACCCAGAATCCTATGCCCCCGAACCAGTTCTCCTGGCAACACCATAGGCACCACCATCTTGTTTTTTGCTTCTGCGCATGCAGAAACCAAGTTCTTTTGACATATGCTCGCCAGCATTCTTCAGTCATCTATCCCAGAAATATAATCCTCATGGTGAGGAAGGACTGCAGAATTGGGCAGGGAAATGAAGCAAAATTTAGATTTTTTTTCCCATAGGTGAAAAATAATTCCTTGCTTCAGCCCATTGAGAAAGATGCTAACAAAAATTACTTGCAGATTTCATCCAAAACATTTTATGTTCATAATAAAAAATGAGCATGAGATCTAAAACTATAGTCACATTTCATTGTATACTTTATGAACTAAATCAATTTCTATTAAAATGCTAGCCAGAATAATTTTTATTCTTTTTTTTAGTTCTGAGAATGAACCAATTCAGGCCTGCTTCCAGTAAAGACAAGAAGGGAATGGAAAAGTGAAAAGAACAGAGAGGAAGCAGGAGAGAGACCCTTTTCAAGTAATATGTCAGCCAAGCAGGAGGGAGTGGGGAAGGTTGTTTTTTCTCTGGATGGAGATTGTAATGGGCAAAGTGTTCCTGCCACCAAAGTCTGCAGAAAGGGAGGAGGGATGAAGAACAATGCTCAGAATGGGATCTCTTCACATACAGCCTGCCTGCTGAGAATAGTGCCAGTCCACTCACCTCTTCGAACCTAATGGAGAGTGGTCTAACCAAGGGATGGCAGAAAAAGAAGTGGGGTAGGCCATTTTATTGAGGGTGGGCCACCTGACCAACAATGTCCTGTAGGGGAGCAGGTTAGTCTGCTTAGCATTGGGCATTGTGTCTAAAAGGGAGAGGAGAGGTAGGTGACCTTTAAGAAGACTCATCTCCAGTGGGGGCAGAGTGTCAGGCTTCTGGACGTCGAGGATGCCTCCTTCAATATCCAAGAAAGGAAAACCTCAACTCCATTTTGATAGAGATAAAGTACTTTTACTAGATATTAATTGAAAACAGCAAAAGGAAAGCAAGAGCTGAGCCAGAAAGGCGGGAACATATACATATCAAATGTGTACCCAGCACCGTCCCCCCCAATTCCCCAACCCATTGTCCAATCTGCAACTCCCTAAGGTGTCATGTGGGCTGCATCTTCAAGCAGCCTCATCAAGTTGGTATGCAGAAAGATTGGCCTTGACCAAGTCCAAATCAGTCAACAGCATGCACAGAAGATGGTGACAACAAGGCTCCTCCAGTACAATATAATTCCCTTTCCTAATACTATGCACCACCCCGTTCCTATGGCAGCCGATAATAAGCAAGCGTAGCAAGCAAAACAGAGTCTGACACTCTCACTGCAAAGGGAAGGAAAGGCCCGGAGTACAGGGTTGGGGAGTTATTTTTCTTTCTCTTAGTTTGGAGAAATATTGCTTCTGCCTCCAAGGTCCTTCTCCCAGGTGCATTACCAGCTTATAAGGCAAAAGTGTTCTAACCATGAGCCTGGGTTGTGGTGGAAAAGGCTGCCTCTCAGAGACTCATCCCTCCTCAATGTCAATTGACTTCAATGTTTTGCAACTCATAAGTGCCAAACAAAAATATTGTATATTATCATTCAAAAGAAAAGAAAAGTCCAGCAGAGATAAACATGAAATAAGAATGAAGGTATATAAATGTGTGTGTTTATATAAAATTAAATATGAAATTTCTGCATACTCTTTACCTTTATTTCAGCTTCCTGAATACTAATGATTTAGATGTAAATTAAACTTGGTGCAAGGCAGTCCCACTGGTTTTAATATTTGTGATATTATTTGTAATATAGACATGCACACTTGTTAGCTACATTTTTTCCAATATTTGTACTTATATTTAAAAAGCCTCAGATTAATGATCTTCACTGCACTTATAACATATTTGTTAATAGAAATAGAATCATTTTACAACATTGTTTATAGTTTTAATTTCTGAAGTTCACCCATTATTGTTAACCTAAATAAATTGAGAGGTTTTTTTTTCTTTTTTGTTTACTACAATCCAAATCAATTTGGATTCATAAAATCACTTTCTAATTTGATTTCATAGATACTGAGTTATAAAAGTTATAAAATAGTGCTCTCAAAGTTACAATCAAGTTTTCTTTTTCCACATGAATTAAATGAAATGCCATTCAAATATGTTTGGTATTTTAAAGGAAAAGCTGAAAAATGTTTTGTGATAGAAACAGGTAGATTCAGATTTCAAAGCAGTTAACAGTTTTTATGCTTCAATAGCAAAGTCTTATACATTCAAAAGACCTTTTGACAGTTTACTTCATCTCTTTGATGAAATACCCAGTATATAAAAGTCAATAAAATATATTATTTTATGGCCATGGGACTCATAGATTGCACATCCAACTATCCATTTTTTGATTTTGATTTTATTTCTCAATTAGACTTTCAAAGGATTACCAGGAAATTAATTGCAATGTATATATTCTCCAGTGGTGGGTTCCGGATCCTGTTGCAACCGATACGCTGCAACAGGACCCGGCGTCCACCACATGCATACGCATAGCACATGCACATTGCGTGCATGCATATTTACTGCCCAAAATGTTCCAGCTGCTCAGCGAGCATCGTGCAGGCTCCATATGTTCTGTGCATGTGCACAAAAGTCCTGATCAGCTCAAATCCAGGTAAGAAGAGCAGGCAGGTGGGCGGGCCCTCCGGAGCACTGTACTGAATAATATTTGGTGCTCCCAGCAGGCACTGGTATGCCTGTACTGGGGCGTACTGGTCGTATCCCACTACAGATATTCTCCATCCCCTCTCTCTTATACACAATAACAACCTTCAATATTAACAGTGATGGGCTGATTAATCCAATAAGAGAATCAGTAATGTAATTTATCTTTCTAGGTCATTGGAATCAGAGTTGCAGAAATAAACAATTCTACCATTACAGAGTTTGTCCTTCTGGGTTTCACCAATTCCGTTGAACTGCAGATAGTTCTCTTCTGGGTATTTGCATTCATCTATGCTGCAGCTCTAACTGCCAACTTCATCCTCATGTTTACTATATCTACTTACAAGAAACTTCACACACCTATGTATTTTCTCATATTCAATTTGTCCATAGTGAATATATTGTCTATCTCAGTTACAACTCCTCGGTTACTCCTGAGTTTTTTGAGCCATAGCAAAACAATTTCATTTTATGGTTGCATCACACAAGTATTTTTCATTATATGGGCCTTGGGATCAGAGCTGCTCCTTCTCTCATTTATGGCTTTTGATCGCTATGCTGCCATTTGCCATCCTTTGCATTATACTGTTATCATGAGGAAAGAAGTATGTGTTGGTATAGCACTCTTTGTATGGATTGTTGGAATGATAAACTCAGCTGTACAAGCTGGACTTATGCTGCAGCTTTCTTTTTGTGATTCCAATGTCATCAATCATTTCTTCTGTGATATCCCTGCAATATTAGATCTGGCATGTTCAGACACAAGTAGAAATCATTTTACAACAATGGTTGCAGATGTGGTGTATGGCATTGGTAGTTGTATGTTGACTCTAGCATCCTATTTTTTTATACTGAGGACCATTGTCAGAATTCGTTCCATAGAAAAGAAAAGGAAGGCATTCTCCACATGTTCCTCACATCTCTTTGTAGTCAGTTTTTATTTTTCTGCAATCATCTACACATACATCAGGCCTTCTTCAGTCTATTCCCTAGACAAGGATAAACTTGTTTCTCTCATTTATCTGGTAGTAACTCCGGTTGTTAACCCACTCATATATTCTTTGAGAAACAAAGATTTTAAAGAAGCAGTTAAAATGTTTACCGGTAAACTCAAGTTCCTTCCAACGTGAGATTAATTTACAAAATACTCCTACAATTCTGATATTAAAAAAAAATTATTGACTCTGTAAACCACTTAGAGAGGAGTGTAAAGCGCTGTGAAGCAGTATATAAATCTAAGTGCTATTGCTATTGCATGATTTTTGTGATTATTGTTACAATTATTGTTACAATAATTGTTAAAATATCTGTACTGTCACTACTATTTAATAAAAATACAAAATAGACTTTTGTATGGATTACATTTATTTAAATTTTACATAATTTAGGATGGAAGAGCTGTACATTAAAAATAAATAGAATATTAATTTAGTGTCTATTCTACAATAATTATTTTCGGGGGAACCTTTGAAGTCTTCCAGTCTAATACTTTGTACAAGCCAGAAGCTGACATAGGCATATTTGTCTAATTTTTTCTTGTAAAACCTCTAGTGTTGGGGCATCAATAACTCTGAGAAGCAAATTATTCCACTGCTTAATAGTTTTCACTGTCAGGAAATTATTTCCAGGTAGGATCTGCTTCAACTCATTGTTCTAACCTCAAATATTATGGATACCTCTTTCCCTGTGGCAAGCCTTCAAGTATTGGAAAACTGTGATCATGTCTCCCCTCATTCTTTTTTTCCTTGTTAAGCTAAACATACTTAGAACTTTTAGCTGTTATTCATATATATATATATATATAGTGATCATGTCTCCCCTCATTCTTTTTTTCCTTGTTAAGCTAAACATACTTAGAACTTTTAGCTGTTATTCATATATATATATATATATGATTTTTTTTGCTAATGTATTTCTGAACTCCTCCAAGATTTCTTCAATCTTAAATGCATAATTCTATTTGTGTATTTGTTTTTAAAAATACACACCAATGATGTAAAGACTCCAATTTATACAGAGAATAGGGAGTACCCTTTTTAAAGCCAGGTGCTGATATAAATTTCTAAGACTAAGGACACAGAGTGAAATAGGCAAGGAGGATCATTATAAGATTCCTTTGCATTGAGTCATCTCCTATATAAGGGAGTATATTCATAATTCTATTCATCTCCTGAGGCAAACAAGATGCTATCTACCAAATTTCTGATATGTGAAATTCAATCAAATTCAATCAATTTGTAGGATACCTGTGACCATTTAAAATAATAAAATATCTCTCTGTGTTTTTCTTTTCTTATCTAAGGCCATGTGGAATTTTTAAATTACACATTTTTATAGTAGCTGTTTATTCTACAATCATTGCGGGAATATTGATAGTATTCGGGGGCTTTCATATTTTCTCTTTAGATAATGCTAAATATTTAATAATTGTTTAATGCTAGGATTATGTTCTTCTTACAGCTTAAATAATCAGATATTATTATATCATGAGTTTAGTACTACCATTTGTGGAATGTGTGACTATTTTTAAGTTTTGAAAACCTACAGTTGGAGTAGTTTGTAGCAGCTATACTACCTATTACATACTGGTCACAATACCAAAATCATCTTATGGACTTTTTGAAAATTTGAATATCTGAGGGGACAAATGGGTGCGCTTTTGGTCTCCTCCATTAAATGCTGTAATCTTGTGAGACTGAGGAAGCACACTTTCTATGTTGCAGCCCCATCCTCTGGATTATTAACCCCCACTCCCCAAGATAAGAACCATGCCATTTCTTCTAGGGCTCAAGAAAACTGTTAAAATCTGCCTTTGGTCCCAAGGCTAAGGTTAATGTATCAAAGTATTACTGTATTTCTGGGACTCCTTTTTTTATCGCACACAGTGTATGCTATTTGAATGATTTGATGTTTAATCTATGTAATAGTTATGTGGGAATGACCTTGAGAGAAAGGAGAAAGAGTGGCAGTTTAGGCAACAATCTTGTCTGATAAATGAAATCTAAGTTTGAATGGTCAGGGGAAGAGTGTTTTATGAGGGACCCTCTCTAGATTTGGACAGAGAAAAATTGAAAGAAGAGAGTGGTATTTTTAAATTTACAAGATTCTGTTATTGTAACCTTGCAATATGGGTAATATTAATACTTATTGTTGACATTTCTTCTCTGGACTAACTGAAAGGACTAACAAACTGTTTTAAAAAAAAATATTTATTTATTTATTCATTCATTGCTTTTATATGCCACCCAGAAGTGATTGAATTTGGCCAGTTAATAAATTCAAATAAATGAATGAATCAACATTGGTTAATCTTTTTTTATTTTTTAAAATAATTTTTATTCAACATTGTTTAAACTTTAAAGTTACAATTACACTTTTACAACTTTCCATTATTGGTATTTTTTTTCTAATTTCAAATTTTTCATTCTAAGGCCTATTGTTTTATATATATATACCTCCTTATTTCATAGTTACTCATTTATATAACATATACAACATTTACACCTCTGTTAGTCTCTAAATATATACTATTTCCTTTTCTTATATTTTCTATGTATTCATTATGCATTAATTTTGTATCTCTTTTCAAGCCAATTATACCACCTATTCCACATCTTGTAATACTCTGTTTCATCTCTATCCCTTAGTTCCATTGTTAATTTATCCATTTCCATGCATTCTAGCACCTTTTTTTCTAAACTCTGCATTTGAGGGGACTTTTTTTGTTTCCAAATTTGGGTAATTGTGGCTGCAATAATAATGTGAAGCATAATATATTGGATTTCTTTAGTTTTATTTCCTTTTATTATTCCTAGAAGGAACAGCTCTGGGTTCATATCAAGTTTTGTTCCATTATTTCCTCCAATTATTTTTTTTATTTTTTACCAATACTCTCTAGCTTTGGGACATGTCCACTACATGTAGTAGAAGGTCCCTTGTTGATAGTTGCATTTCCAGAAATTTGGAGGTCTATTGGGGCCAATCTCGCTGGAGGTAAATGCCACCTATAAAGCATTTTGTAGATACTCTCCTTATACGCAGCCAACATTATCAATTTATATTTTTCCCACAATTTCTCCCAATGCTCCAATTCAATGTTGTACCCAAAATTTTTAGCCCAGACAACCATTGTTTCCTTCACAATTTCCTCCTCCATTTTGAATTTTTAAAGGCAATTATACATTTTAGTAATCATTTTTTCTTCTGTCCCTGTTACTATTTTTTTCAATTGTTGCTGATCATTTTGAAACCCGTATCGTTCCAAATCCTTTTTATATTTTGTTTGAATCTGTATGTATGGCCATCAGTCTATTTCAATTCTCTGCAATTTTAATTCTTCATTTGATTTTAGTTTCCCTTGCCCATCCAATAACTCTCTGTAGGTCACTAGCCTGTTCAGATCCATTACATTGGGGTAAATCATTGTTTCCATGGTTGATAACCACCTAGGAATTTTTGCATTCTTTTAATTTTCATCCAAATCTCTAATAGGGCATCTCTCACTTGGTGCCCTGAAAATATTTATGGGCTTTGTTCTTACACTCCCAGATAAAGGTGTACCAACCCAGGTATAAATCATGACCCCCTATCATCAATATTTTTATTATTTTGAGCCATGTTACAGCTGCTGCCTGGTAGTAAATTTCCCAATCTGGGAGACAAAACCATCTTTGCATTTTAGAGTCCTGTGGAAGTTTATCTTAGCTTCCCCACCAACCAAATGAATTTTAAAATTATTTTATTTAATTCTACAAAAAAAATTCCCTAACTTTATTGGTACAGTTTAGAATAAGAATAGAATTTTTGGTAAAATATTCATTTTTATGGTCGCAATTCTTCCAATCAAAGATATTTGTAATTTTGCCCAATTTTCTAAATCTTTTTGTATTTGTTGTAATAGTTTTGAGTACCGTAGTTGAACGGATACAGCTACTGGGAGTTTCTTTACTTTTCTTTTTAGAGTTTGAACAAATATTGCTTTATAATTGGAAGCATTCAATTATGGATTAATTTGAAGTCCCCAAGGTGTTTCTCCCAGGTGCAACATCCTTTTATGAGAATAAAGATTTCTAACCTGAAACCTGGGTTATTGTAGAAATAAGAATGCCTACCACAGAACCAGCCTTTTTCATCAGCCTTGATGAAATGTGATTGATTTCAATGTTTTGAAGCACATAGATGCCAAACCATAATATCCAAACCTTCCAGCCAACAGAAGATCCAAGTCCAGTAAGAACAAAGAAGAAATAAGAATGCAGGTAAATATCTTTAGTATTATGTGAATTATTAACTGAATTTTACATTGGTGTTCTTAAGTTTTACCTCCACTTTTTACTAGAACTTTGTGGCTCACACAAAGTGTCATATTTTCTATTAGAAATATAACAGATACGTTCTATTAAATGAAAATAAATCAGCAACCTAAATAACTGTGGCTTCTGAACATTCTTAGATTTCACTAAATTTTGAGTTATGTATATAGTTAAAACCACAGAAAATTCCTGGGTTTCATATTAATAATATCTTTTGTCAATATAAAGGAACAAGTAAAGTCAGAAACAGTTTCTCAATCTAAGCAGAATTTACTTAGGTTTTTTTTAAAAAAAAATCATAATGAGAAGAATATGAAAAAGTAAATTTGATTCTTTCTCTAATCTTATGAGAATTATATCAAATAGAAGGAGGACAATAATTTTGTGAGGAACAAGTTGCAGTTTAAAAAACAGTATTCCATCCAGATTTCATTATACTTTGAATAATCACATTAAAAACACTGGGACTGTATTTAAAGGTAATTAAATATTCTATTGAAAAAGTAGCTCAATCAAAATGAAAAAGGTGCAAATGACAATATGCTGCAAGGATAGTTTTTCCTTGGGTACATAATTCTCCCCAAAACTGGGCATTTTGTGAGGACAAAAAGATAATTTATTAAGGAAGCTAAAGTGTATCAGTTCAATCTTACAATGGTCTCATATCACTGTATCAATTTAATTAACAGAAAAGAAAACATCTGTCTGATTTGCAATGGAAACTATCGTCATAAATATCAATGGCAAATATACAATTAGGTTGTGTGTTGTTTGATTTAGGAACAAACTATATCTCTTGGATGATTGGTCTTTTGCAGAAAATTAATAACATTTATTCAGAAGCATAAAAATACTGCACATAATTTTGGATCTTTGTAGGTCACTGGAATCAGAATTGTTGAAAGAAAAAACCATTCTGCTATTACAGACTTTATCCTACTGGATCTCACCGATTCCCCAAAAGTACAGATGCTTCTCTTCTGGTTGTTCACATTCATCTATGTTGCAGCTCTAAGTGCCAACTTTCTCCTTATCTTTACCATATCCACTTTCAAAAAATTCCACACACCCATGTATCTCCTCATACTCAATTTATCCTTATTGAATGTATTTTCTATTTCAGTTACAATTCCTAGGTTACTCCAAAGTCTTTTGACCAATAGAAAAATGATTTCATTTTATGGTTGCATCACACAGGTATTTTTCATTATATGGGCCTTGGGGTCAGAAATGCTACTTCTTTCATTTATGGCTTTTGATCGCTATGCTGCCATCTGTCACCCTTTGCATTATACCATTATCATGAGGAAAGAGGTGTGTATTTTCATAGCAACCATTGTATGGATTGCTGGAATGATAAACTCGGCAGTACATGCTGGACTTATGCTGCACGTTTCATTTTGTGATTCCAATGTCATCAATCATTTCTTTTGTGATATCCCTCCAATGTTGAATCTTGCATGCTCAGACACCAGTATAAATCAATTTATGACCATGCTTGCAAATGTAGTATTTGGGATTTGTAGCTGTGGGTTGACTCTAACTTCTTATTGTTTTATACTGAGGAGCATCTTCAAGATCCATTCTGCTGAAGGGAAGAAGAAAGCATTCTCCACATGTTCCTCACATCTCATTGTAATCAGTCTTTACTTTACTGCACTAATCTACACATACATCAGGCCCTCTTCAGTGTATTCCCTGGACAAAGACAAGCTTGTGTCTCTCATTTATTTGGTGATAACTCCAGTTATTAACCCAATCATATACTCACTGAGAAATAAAGATTTTAAAGAAAGAATGAAAATTCTCACAGGTTATCTAAGGTTGCTTCCAAAACCTTAAAATTCATAGACAAAGTGCTGCTTCACTTTTGATGTGCAGAAAACAATTGCTTTTTATAAATTACATATTGTACTTTGAAACCTCTTATGTAATATAAAATGCATGTAGCAATAGCTATACAATACTGGATTTATTAGTACATTTTTGAAGAAAGAAATCATAAAATTTAATGTAAATAGGATACATTCTTTAGTGTTAGTACTTTAGTATTTAGTGCTTTAAATATGAATGTCTACAATATTTATTTAATTATCATATTCTATATTCAAGATATTCATCATCCATCTGTTAAATATACCCTCATATATATTAGGGAAAGATATGTAAAAATAAATTTCCTGTATGTGTCTTGAATTAGTTCAGCATAATATAAATCGAATAAGAGGTTCCTGTTATCTGCTAACTGGTTTTGGAAACTATATTGAAGTTTTCAGCTAAAATTAGACTGAAATGGATATTTTGGTTATTGTTCATTGAAAAATTGATTATTCAGGCATGTACCTAATAATGGAAAATATGTGAAAGAAATGAATAAACACTAAGAAATAAAGAAAGAAGTATTTTCTTTCACAATATATGAATTACAATTAAAACATTCAAACTTTGAAAGAAACCATGAAAGCAGTTTTTTTGTAAAATTGTGTAATAAACTGTATCCTTCTTGCTAATACCAAATGAGGAAAAATCTGGAGAATTCACAAATTTCTCTTCAAAAGAGAGACAAGGAGCAGAAACTAGAACAACATTCTTTTCCAGAGGGGTGGCATAGCATGAAAACTACATGGGTAACATTATCACCAAAGAATAAGGAAAATAGGGAGAAAACATGGAAGAGTTCACAGTGGGATAACCTTCTGTGGGTTTTGTCTCCTATTTGTCAATATAACCATATCTCTGGACCAAATATGGACCTGCCTATTTCAGAATGTGAAAGAAGCAGAGGGATCAGGAAAAATATCTAAGGAGTATAACAATGGGTAGTGGAAAAGACCTCCAGAAATCTATCTCTTCTGGGGAATAATGGCAAACTAAGATGGTTTTGCTTTTAGTGGAGCTGGTGAATATAATGATAAATGGAGTAAGCAAAGTTCCATTAATTCCTCTTGAGAAAAGAAGAGCATTTGGGATGACCCAAAGGGCTCCTTATAGCATTCCCTACTATGGGACTGTAAAGTAGTGTCATCAGTGGATTTCAGAGCTCTGGGGATTGGGAGAAACAGCTTGACCCAAGTGATAATTGGAATCTTTCATGAGAATGAGAGATTTGTCAACTTCCTCTCTCAGTCAGTTATACTGGAAATGGATTATAAAATGCCTTTTAGACATTAATAAATTCCAGAAGAACAATTTTATCATACTAGATTAATTTCTCTAACCTACAACAGCACAGCAACCTTTCTATAGATTACTGGGATGCTGATAATACCAGTTATACTGATGGAGACATAAAAATGACAATCTTACAAACTACAATATGTTTACTGTTCACAGAAACACTAATTATTGTTGAGAATACATATGATATGGATTTCAAAATCTAGCTAACATGACTTTGAAGGTAAATATTAAACCAAACCTTTCTCTGAGCACAGTTTAATAATTTGATTCTTAAAGAGAACTGATGTTTCATAATTGGAAACATCCAATTATCAACTCCCTTGAAGTCCCCAAGATCTTTTTTCCAGGTGCAACACTAGTTTATAAGAAGAAAGACTTCTAACCTTGTACCTGGGTACCATGTGAAGTAAAGATGTCTATGACAGTCTTCCCTATTAAACTGATGAAAATTGATCAGCTCCTTTGTTTTGCAACTGATAGATGCCAACCATAATTTTTTGTTTCATCCAACAGAAACATAATTCAGTAAGAACAAAGAGGAAATTAGAATGAAGGTAAATATATTCAACATTATATGTAATATTAACTGAAATTCACATTGATGTTCTTATTAACCTCATTTTTCTCCCATATCTTTACTTGCAATTTTACTAAAATGCTCTGCTTCTAATATTTTGGAAATACTTGAATTAATTATCTTCAGAGTATTATATTCTTTCCACAAATGCCATATTTCTTTGTAGAAACATAATTATATTTCTAAATATTATTCACTCAGTTTCAGATGCCCATATTTTCACTCAAATGGGCTCACCATGATATATTCCCAAATGGGCTCACCATGATATATTTCTCATATGTGGGATTTGCAAAGACTGTATCAGGAATAGAAAGAGGTTTTGTATGGAGAATGCATGCTCATAGTATAGAACTCCCATCATTGTCTTTCCCTCTTTTCTTATTGTTCAACTACAAAACATGTTAATGTTCTTTTTTTAATTTCAGGACTTCATCAATCAAAAAGGACTGAGGTCAAACATGCAACACAATTAACTGTGACCAGAACTGTGAATAGCTAAACACATTAACCAGGATGCTACTTCTTTTTCTTACTAATAGCATTTTATTAGTAAGAATAACTAAGAAAAGTCAGTAATATATTTTTTAAGTTCATTATAATCTAAATAAGTTATTGAGGCTTAAAAATGAACAGAATAGTAATAGAGATAATAAGTCGTTGTATAATCTTTCAAATATTAAATCAATAGAAAACATATATCAATGTTGTAAGCATCAAATTGCAGCATAAATGTATATAATCTAGATTTGATTACATTTAGTACAATTACAAAAAAGTGACTGAATCCAAGAATTAAACATAAATACTACTGATACTAAATAGCATTCCAAATGTATCTAATGCACTATTTCCTGCATACATTGTCCTACCCTTTAGTTAATCAATTTTCCCTAAAGAGCAAATTAACAGAGGAAATAGGAACAGCTGATGAAAAAATGAATCTGAATTAGGACTCATTAAAGGTCCTGTAATTCAAGTATATTTGACATCTGCACCAAACTTGTAATATATACAAAAATGCGTAATGTGAAACTGGATAAACCATATTTTTCGGTCTATAAGATGCACCAGAGTATAAAATGCACCAAGGTTTTGAAGAAGTAAATTTAAAAAAAACAAAACGTTTTTGCTCTCCCTGGTTCGCAGTGGTTAAATGCAGCACTGCAGGCTACTGCTAGATCAGCAGGTCAGCGGTTCAAATCTCACCGGCTCAGGGTTGACTCAGCCTTCCATCCTTCCGAGGTGGGTAAAATGAGGACCCAGATTGTTGGGGGCAATATGCTGACTCTCTGTAAACCGCTTAGAGAGGCCTGAAAGGCCTATGAAGCGGTATATAAGTCTACTGCTATTGCTATATTGCTATTGCTATTCCTAGGAGCATTCTGCAGGCTTCCCAAAGCCTCTGCACATCCCATTTTTTGTGAAAAAGGAGCACACAGAAAGTTTGAGAGGCCTGCAAAATGCTCCTAAAGGTTGGGAAGGGAAAATATGTGATGCATGGGGGGGGGATTGGGAGATGAAAAATGGGCCCATTTGTTGCAAAATGGGGAGTGCAAAGGGTGTAGTGGCCTGTAGAGTGCTCCTGGCAGCTGGAAAGGCCAAAAACGAGCAAAAAACAACCCAGTTTTTGCAAAAAAAGGGGGGCATCCAGAGTGTCTGGAAGGCCAGTAGAGTGTTCCTAGGGGCTAGAGAGGGCAAAAAATGAGTAGAAAAAGGCTCATTTTTTGCACACAAAAAAAGTGCCATCTGTGTATCCTTTTTTTGCAAAAAAAAAAAAAACAGGATGCGTGAGGCAGGGTTTCGGGAGGCCAAAAATACTGTATTAGGTGTATAAGATGCACCCAGATTTTCAACATCTTTTTTGCGGGGAAATAGTGCGTCTTATACTCCAAAAAATACAATAATTACCTAAAGTTCTTCACCATCTGTGTTTGCATGTGTATGAATTTCTGTATATATTTGTTCATACATACATGTTTGATTCCATTAATTTTTAGTTTTTATTTATTTTTATGTTTAATTGTTTTTTCTTTCTTTCATTTTTGAAAGCCTTTCTTACCACTTTTACCTTAAGGATGAAAATGAGAAATTCATGCAGCTGGCTTTGTGTCTATTGCACAACTAGAATTCACAAACTCCCTATTTCCAGCCCAGTGACTTTCCCCACAACATTATTCTGGATCTTCATTCTCCATTATTTAAATATTAATATCCTTTAAAATTAAAAGTGAAAAGCGGGTTAATTCAAGAAATAATTAATAATATAATATATCTTCCTAGGTCTTTGGACACAGAATGTTTGAAATAAAAAACCATTCTGCCATTACAGAATTTATTTTACTGGGTCTCACTGATTCCCCTCAACTGCAGATGTTTCTCTTCTGTGTGTTCGCCTTCATCTATGCCACAGCTCTAGCTGCTAATATTCTGCTCATGTTTATTATATGCATTGTCAAGAAACTCCACACACCCATGTACTTCCTTGTATTCAATTTGTCCTTAGTGAATATATTGTCTATCTCGGTTATAACTCCTAGATTACTCCACAGCCTTTTGACTAACAGAAAAGCAATTTCAATTCATGGCTGCATCACACAAATATATTTCTTTATATGGACTTTGGGAACAGAATTGTTCATTCTCTCTTTTATGGCTTTTGACCGCTATGCTGCCATCTGCCACCCTTTGCAATATACCATTATCATGAGGAAAGAAGTATGTGTTGGCATAGCAATCTTTGTATGGATTACTGGAATGCTAAACACTTCAATACAAGCTGTCCTTATGCTGCAGCTTTCTTTCTGTGATTCCAACATCATCAATCATTTCTTCTGTGACATACCTCCAATATTAGATCTTACATGTTCAGACACCACCATCATTCATGTTAGTGCAATCATCTCAGATGTGTTGTTTGGGATTGTTACTTGTGGCTTGACTCTAACATCCTATTTTTTTATACTGAGGACTATCTTCAGGATACGTTCAACTGAAGGGAAGAAGAAAGCTTTCTCCACATGTTCCTCACATCTCTTTGTAATTAGTTTTTACTTTTCCTCAGTCATCTACACATATATCAGGC